CCCCTTCAGGCCCAAGGACACCCTCCATCCTGCATTGTGAGGCTTAATTCAATTAACATTTACAAGGTGCTCTGAGCTAGCTCTGCTGTGGTGCCAGCCCATGGGAAATGAATGACATCAGCTTTATTGCAGGGTTGGAGGGGGCGTCCCTGGGTCTCCCCATGTTGAGCCTAATTGGGAGCCACTTACTCCCCCTGTCTGCCACATTGCATTTGAGCATGTCTGACCTGATCCAATGCCACTGCCCACCACTGAATCACATGCTGGACCCCAGCCTCTGGGAAAGGGTCAAAGTTCACATTTCCTCTCTAGGTCAGGCAGCCCCCTACTGTGAAAGTAAACACTCAGCTGGTGGACCCCGCCTCTGGCGCTCATCACTTTCATAATTCCTGTCTGCTTTGTGTCAGGGTGCAGTTAGGCAAGTGCCCTGGGCTGCCTGGGCATGAGACTTGGCACTGCCACTTTGCTGGGTGACTTAACTCCTCAGTCTGTTGAAAGCAGTTTGACAATGGAACTTGCCTTGGGGGAGGAGGTGGGGGTAAAAAGATGTTTGTAGCATGATTTTCTGCCTACAGGGACCTTTTGGGATCTCTTAATCATTATTCATGTGAATAATGGCTGAAGGGCACAGCAATGTCCTAAAGCCAGCAAGTCTACCACTCTGGAAAAATCCCTTAGGGAGATACCACCTCCTTCCAGAAAGTATAATCCTCAGCTTATCCTCCAGGATGTTCATATCAGATAAAGCTGGTGGCTTGTGATGCTGGCTGGTCACATTATCTGGGAAATGCCAACCTTGAGTTGTTGGAGGCCAAGGTGAGGAACAAGGGAAGAGAGGGAGAGATTTATATCTAGCATTAGATAAAATGTTATTTCTTTTCTGGGATTAAACCAGGAGCACATAAAACCACTGAGCCACTCCCAGCTATTCCCCCCCCCCCCCTTTTTGAGACAGGGTCTCACTAAGTTGCTTAAGGCCTCTCTATGTTGCTAAGGCTGGCCTCAAATCTGTAATCCTCTTGCTTCAGCCTCCTAAATCTGTGATTGTAGGGATTCACCTCCACACCTGGCACAAATATTATTTTTTTTGGGGGGTGGGGGTGGGTAACTGGGGATTGAACTCAGTGGTGCCGAATCCCCAGCCCTTTTTGTTACGTATTTTGAGACAAGATCTCACTAAGTTGCTGAGTCTCTCTAAATTGCTGAGGCTGGTCTTGACCATGTGATGCGCAGCCTCCAAAGTTGCTGAAATCACAGGCGGGCGCCATGGTGCCCAGCTCACAAATGCTATTTCTGCTGCTCATTTCTTGTGTCCCTGTTTCTAAGAGCATTTGATCAAATTTGTATGTTCTTATTTAACATCCCTGGACGTTGATTATGTCTGATTTCTCTCTTGGGGGTTAGAGGTTAACCTAGAACTCCATGTTTCTTAAGGTTAACCTGCTACTGAGCTACACCCCAGCCATGTTGTGTGCCTCAGTTTCCCCATGCCAAATAGGATAAAGTTAGTAAAGCACAGGATAGTCCAACACATAGTGCTGAAAAACACCAGATGAGCAGGTTGGTATGTCTCTGTCTCTAAGGTGACTTTTGGAGGAGAGACCCTGGGCAACATTTTTGGTTTTAAAAGTCTGAGAAATGAGGAGACTGGAGAACCCTGCTTCCAGGCTGCAGGGACAGGGACAGCAGCAATATACCTGGAGAAGGCAAATGGGGGAGAGGAACTCTCCTAGGCCTAGTCCACCTAGGCCTAAGAAGAGGGACACTTTTTGTTGACTTCTTGTAGAGTCAGTTAGGGGCTGGGACTGCCTGAGAAACCCATCCTGACCCTGGACCCTGGAACCAGAAGTCATGTCCTTTAGTTGAAGCCTCTGTCACCCTCCAACTCCTGAAGGCAACCTGTGTGCTCTCCTTCTCCCCAGAGAGCTCCTTGAAGTGGTAGATGGGTCCACCCACCAGCCATGCCAGACCACTCAAGTTTACTTACTTAGTTCACTGATTTGGCCTGAGGTGAAATGCTTAAAATTAATTACAATTCCGAATTACATTCCCGCAGCTTTTCTGAGATTCTGGTTAATTGGTCTCCCTAGACCTGGCCATAGGTCAGCCAGCCTGTTCTCTTTCAGGTCGGGGGTGGGGGAGAAGGGCTGAGTAGCAGCTGGTGGGTCTGGGTCAGGCCTGTTTTCGGGTGGGTAGGGGAGGAGGTTAACTGTGTGGGGGAAAGCCAGAGCCCAGAAACTGATCTATATATATAGACTCATGGGCCACACAGGGCAGAGTGAGCCCAAGTGCTTTGTATCAGTATCTCTAATCAGAACTATGCTTGTCTAATGTACTTATTACCCAGGGACCTTGGTAAAGTCTACTTAAAATCCTGATCAGCAGGTGTAGGACTCTGTCTTAAAATTCCTTGGTTGTAAACAGTAACCAGGTAATGCCAGTGCAGCTTGTTTCAAGGGCGTGGTTCCTGGGGGCACCTGGGGAATCCCAGAGGTCTAGTTGCCCAGAGCCCAAGCTTGGGGAGTGGGCAGGTCTAAAGAATGGAATTTATGCAAATCCACCTGGGGACACCACGGACCTCTTCTTACTGACTTTCATAGCGCCCCCTGGTGGAAGTGGGGTCAATACAGCCCGCAGCCAGGCTGCCCCAGGTGTTATTTCTAGAAGGTACTCTGGGCAGGGAGCTTGCTTGGGTTATCAGGTAGGGCCAGGTGAGACCTTATCTGGTTGCTTCTCCAAGACAGGCCTCTAGGGAAGGAGCTGTATGGCTCAAACAGCCTCTAGAGCTGTTGATGGGAATCGGGGAGTCAGAGCCTTGCTCTGTACCGAGGCATTAATTTTTAACATTATTTATTAATTTATTTTTGTAGTATTGGGAATTGAACCCAGGGACACTCTACCACTGAGATATATCTCCAGCCATTTTATATTTTATTTTGAGACAGAATCTTACCAGATTGGCCTCAAACTTGAGATCCTCCTGCGACAGGCTCCTGAATCGGGGATTACAGGCATGCGCCATTTGCCCAGTGCCTAGACCCGGCTCCTAGGCTCTATTTTTGCAAACTGAAGGTGGATGAAAAAGAACAAAAGCCAGTGAGTTTGGGCATTGGGGATTTTACCCAAAGACGCTTAACCACTGAGTACACCCCAAGCTTCCCGGCTTTTTTTTTTTTTTTTTTTTGGAGACAGGGTCTTGCTGAGTTGCTCAGGGTAGCCAAAGTGCTGAGGCTGGGGTTTAGACTCGTGATCCTCCTGCCTCAGCCTCCCAAGCCTCTGGGATTATAGGCGTTTGTCACTGCACCCAGCTCCAGTGGGTTTTTAAAATTTTTTTTTATTCTTATAGTTGGTCCACATGCCTATATTTTATTTTTATGCAGTGCTAAGGATCAAACCCAGTGCCTCACACTTGGCTAGGCAAGCACTCTGCCACTGAGCTACAGCCCCAGGGCCTCCAGTGACTTTTTGAAATTAATTAATTATTAATTAATTTTTTTTGGTATTAGTGTTTAAACCCAGGGACACTTTACCACAGAGCCTCACCCAGCCCTTTTTATTTTTTCTTACTAAAATGTTGAGGTTCTAGCTAAGTTGCTGAGACTAGTCTCTAACTTGTGATCCTCCTGCCTCAATCTCTCCAATTAATCTGGGGATTTATAAGCATGTGCTACTGTGCCCACCTGGAAATTAATGATTTAGGCGCCATGCCCTGAGACTTTAAATATGGTCTGTACCCAATAGTGGCCCCCCCTTTTTTTTTATGTAGTACTGGAGATTGACCCCAGTGCCTCATGCATGCTAGGCTTTAACACTGAGCCACAACTCCAGCCACCCCTCTCCCATCCCTCTTATTTGTTTATTTATTGAACCCAGGGACTCCCACATGCTAGGCAACTGCTCTACTACTGAGGCACATTTCTAGTCCTTGGATAAAATTCTTTTTTGTGTTGCTGGGGATCAAATGCAGGGCCTCATGCATGCTAGGCAAGAGTGCTTCACCACTGAGCGGGGTGCGATCTACCATTGATGCTTGGATGTGAATTTTGACTCTGGAGATGAACTTCATTTACCAGTTTTCTTTTTGCATAAAATGAGCCCACAGTCTCCCTGGGAGAAAGGTGCAGACTCTTGTGTCCAACAAATGTCTAATTAGTGCTGGCTCTGTGGAATGGGCCACACTTCAGCTTCCACATTCCATAAGTGGTGTCTTAGCTGATTGACCTGGTGATACTGCGGTGACAGAAGGGACAGAGTGGGGAGGCCAAGCCTGGGTGGGGGTGTGGGGCATTCCTCTCCTGTAACTGCCCAGGCTCTGCTCCTGAGCCTCCTCCATCCTTCTCTTCTTGGGAACTTGGGACTCCAAGCCCCAGCTGGTGAGGGAGGAGGGGAGTGAGTGACAGTCCAGCAGACCAATGGGCCCCTGAGGATGGGGTTAGGCGGGGCTTGTGCTGCCATGGAGAGGAGAGAAGCGGTTCTGTGGGGGAGGAGGGGGCGGTGGGAAGAGGACCTGGAGATTGAGGGGAAGGGAGAGAGCAAACAAAGGGGTCAGGAGGGAAAATAATGCTCTGGCTTCCTGAGGCCCTGCAGAGGCTGGGCAGGGAGAAGGGGCCAGGGGCAGAGGGACCTGAGGCTGGCGGCAGGCAGGCCTGGCCAGCTAGGTCCTAAATGGCATTGTCTGAAGGGGCCAGCTATTTGTACAGAGCAGCCTGAGCCTCAAACCCCAGCCCCAGTCCACTCCTCTGTCCGGGGTGCTGGCATCTGAGCCTTCGGGGCCGCCTGGCCACATGGAACCAAGTCCTGAGCCTCCGAGTTTGGTGAGGGGGCAGACTATGGGGGGCCGTCTGGGTGGGGTCCTGGGGTAGGATGTCATCCTCAGATTGGGTCATGGGTCCTCCCTTGGCCTGAGGACATCAAGCCACTGGCAGGAAGATGGGGGCTGTGCTAATCCGTGCCCCTGCCTCCCTTCCACTACCCATTCTGGCCTTCTCCCACAGGAAACGATGAAGGGGGATACCAGACACCTCAGTGAAGAGGAGGGCGCCAGCGGGAGGGAGGACTCCATCATTCTCATCAACGGGGCCAGCAGTGACCAGTCCTCCGACTCCAAGGACGCCCCTTCGCCCCCCATCCTGGAGGCTATCCGCTCACCCGAGATCAGAGGTGGCCAGCCAGATGGGAGTCAGGGGGGGTCAGGTGATACCTTGGGTGGGCGCTGCAGACAGACCTCCCCTCTATCACCGCCCAGGGAGGATGTGGCCAGCCAAAGCCCCTCCTTCTCCCTGCCTCAGCCCCTCCCATTCCTCCCCTCAGCTGGGACTCTGAGGGGAGGGACACTTAGCATCTTCTCCTGTCCTTTGCCACTAGTCATAGGGTGATCCTGCCTCCACAAGCCAAGATTCTGGCCCTCCTACAGTGGGACCCAGCCCCTCTCCCAGGCCTGTGGTTGGGACTGAGGCTTGCTTTTGCAGCACCCTCCCTGTGGCACTTCCAGACCACCTCACTAGGCCTCCCGCCTCCCTTGGCTTCCCCACCTGTTCTGTGCTGTCCTCTAGAACTTTCTGTTAATGCAAGAGTGACAGTGGCCTTTTTCTGCATTGTTAACCCTAATAGCCACATGTCTGTGTTTTGGACATGTGGCTGAAAGGGCAGATGCAGAATTGTTGACTTATTGTTTTTTTTGTACCAGGGATTGAACTTGGGCACTCCATCACTGAGCCACATCCCCAGCCCTATTTTGTATTTTATTTAGAAGCAGGGTCTCACTGAGTTGCTTAGTGCCTCCTCATTGCTGAGGCTGGCTTTGAACTGGCAATCCTCCTGTCCCAGCCTTTATTGATGGATTTTAGTGATACCTGGAATCTGATCCCAGGGCCTGGTGCGGATGCTAAGCTAGTGTCCTACCAGCAAGGGACCTGACTTCCTCATTTAAATGCAGTTCTTGGTCACAGACTTAGATGGCTCCCCTCAGAACTGTTTTGGATCTGATTTTGTTTCTGTGCCTTGTTGCTTATGAGTCCATGGTAGGGACAAGAGTACCGAGGGCCTGAGAGTTCATTCCAGAGGCAACATGGTCCGCAAGATCTCAAGCCACAGCCATCAGCAAGGCTGTGCTCCGGGCGGGGGCCTGCTCCGAAACTCTGCTCCTAAACTCTGCTCTGCTCCCTAGGCCGCAGATCCAGCTCTCGCCTGTCCAAGAGGGAGGTCTCCAGCCTAATCAGCTACACTCAGGTAGTTTCCCATGTTCCCCTTCCAGGACATTAGCTATAATATTTTTATCCATCCAGTAGGTCTCTGAGGCTCAAATTGCTACTGACAAGTGAAGCTAATCTTTTTTTTCCCCCCAAACTAAATTGAGAAGTTTTGTTTTCCTGAATGCTTCCTGTGTATGAAATTATTTCTTAACCTGGACAGCTATGACATAATTCATAATTCTTCTTTTGTGTGTGTGTTTGTGTTACTAGGGATTGAGCCTGGGGTGAGTTGTATTCCCAGCCCTTAGTGAGATGGGGTCCTTCCTAAGTTGCTAAGATTGGCCTCAAACTTTCCATCCTCCTGCCTCAGCTTCTTAAGTCACTGAAATTACAGGCATGCCCCACTGAGCCTGGCAGATTTTGTTTTGAAATTCATTTACTCATGAATAGAATGAATAGAAGATGTGAGTTTTCACATCTGTGGTTTTGATATCAGGTTATCTGGCCTCAAGAAAATTTTTAACAAGATTTTAAAGAATTGTTAGAACTGCTGTAATATTAAAGATTTTACTTCTTCAGTTTTACCAACATTATTTTTTTCCATCATGTTTGTTTATTTATGTCCTTTTATAATTAGTCTTAGTTTTGTCCCTTGGGTTGCTCTTTTTAGGATTTTTTTTGTAAAAGATGGACACAATATCTTTATTTTTATGTGGTGCTGAGAGGCAAGCGCTCTACCGCTGAGCTATGGCAAGCCCATGGCAAGCCCTGGGGACAGTCATGAGCAGAAGTCAGACAGTGAGCACACATACATCTTTCTGCGGCATCTGTTGTGTTTTAGTGGTGGTCCACCAGATAAGGGATCCAGGTGGTGTCCAAAGGCTGTGGAGGGTTAAGAGAGACTGGATCACAGCCTCAGGAATGCTACTGTGTTATTCAGTTAGTTATCAGTAAAAGTAATGAAATCCATCTGAGGATTTCCTGTGTCTAAGCTAAGCCTGTGTTATTTGAGGCTTGTGATAACCCTGTTGTGCTGTGTGTAAACATTATTCCAATTCTAAAATAAGGGGAATGGGCTCTTTCAAAAAATGAGACTTTTGAAAGCTTTAGCCACATCTGGCTACTCTTGGTTTCAATTTTTGTGCTCTGTGCATGTTGGGTGCGGCTGGAGCCTGCACTAGCGTCTTCATGACACAATCCTGGGTTGGTGGCATTGCTTCTTGTCATTATATCAAGAAGTGTCTCCAGTGAGCAGTTTCCGTGCATTTTCCCCCATGTGCTTCGAGTGGTGGAAACTGTCCTGGTGTCCCTTGCTCATCATGGTGAGCTCTGGGACTCATTTTCCTTATCAAGTCTTATTCCTGTGACTTGATGATTCACTGAGGTTTATCTTTCCTGTGATCCTGTGGCGAACTAATGCAAAAGCCTTTAGACAATATTTCTTGGTGTCTTTGCTTAATTTTATGAAGGGTTTCCGGGGATCCAGTCTTTAGCTACTTTGCCTGTGTGACTTAACATTGAAAAATTGATCTTATTCCTTCAAAAGGATCTGACAGGGGAAGCAGATGGTGAAGAAGATGGAGACAGCTCTGAGGCTCCTGTGATGCCAAGACTATTCCGGGAAACCAGGACCCGCTCTGCAAGCCCAGCAGTAAGTCCCACGTGCAGAGCCCAGGGATTCCCACCAGGGATGGGTCGATCCCCCTGGGGGGGACATGGAAGACAGGTGAACAAATGTATTGAAAATTCAGGAAATCACAGCCAGACTCACGAATTATCATAGTTTGGAGGTATCTTTTCTATGGCAGATTTCAAGATCTTTTTTTGGCCCTCTCTTGAAAATGGTAGGGTGATATAGAATTTTCAGAGTAGACAGCTTGCTCAGCTGTCAAGTCACTTCCGGGGCCCTTGTCATTTCTGGAGATAGATGCTGTGGCTCTACCTCAGAATTTAACGTCTGAGGATGGGATGTCAATTAGCACTCATGATCCCCCAGCCCCTAGAGACTAGGCAGACACTGACTGACTGACTTCCAGACATGGATTATAGTCTCATTTTTCCAGTTTAATATGTGTATTTAATTTAGTTTTGGTTTTAGAGAGAGAGAGAGATTTTAATATTTATTTCTTCTTTAGTTCTCGGCAGACACAACATCTTTTGTATGTGGTGCTGAGGATCGAATCCGGGCCGCACGCATGCCAGGCGAGCGTGCTACCGCTTGAGCCACATCTCCAGCCCCAAACATCAAGTCTTATAGAATTGGAATTGGGCTGCAACACTCAAACTCATACCATTTTGAGAAAGTGTAGTATAATGGCCTTTCCTTCCTGGATGAGAGCCTTGGCCTTCCTGAGAAAAACAATAATTGGCTTTATGCTCCTTTTGGGGGGAAAAAAGTGTGGTTTTGGTAATTGTGCATTTATCCTCATTTGCTGGTCTCTGGCCAGGTTTGTGTGCTGTGACTAGCAAAGCACATCAACTTCCTTACTGCCTTCCAACCACTAGGTGTCCTCGGTTGTCGTGCGGCCCCGAGTCCCAGTCCCCATACCTCCAGTCACCTAAGGCCTGGTGCCTATCCTGTCTTGCTTCCAGGTCCGAACCCGAAATAGCAACAACAGTGCCTCCAGTCGGGAGAGGTACAAGTCCTTCCCACATCCCACCCGAGGCCGCCAGGGCCGCAGTCACGTGGACGAGTCTCCCGTGGAGTTCCCGGCTACCAGGGTTGGTGCCCCTGCCCAGCCGTTCACGGGGAGAACCCATGGCTGGTGCAGGACCCGTGTCCTCTCTTCACGGCTCTTTTTCAGGATCTTGATTTTCCTTTTCTCTCCTGGGTTTTGGAAAGCTTCTCCTCGGCTGAATGGCTTCTCTCCTGGCCTGCTCTTGGGTGGAACTTCCAGAACTGTCCTGTCGCCTCAGTGTCTTCTGTTCCAGAAAACTCCACTGCTCTTTCCAGTGGGGACACAATAGGTGGTTACAGGATCCCCCTTCTCAGATGGGGCCTCTTGGCACTTACCCGTCATTGTCCTTTCTCTGGTCGTGATGACTTTCACCACTTAAATGACACTTCTTCCTTTGAAAACTGTCCTGGGTGATTTTGAACCTCCTCAATTTCTTTCTTCCCTCTTTCTGCTACTTGGGAAGCCACAGGGGGAATCACTGGTCTCCAATCACCTGGTTTGCTTTGCTGTGACGCAAACTGTGTCCTTCCATCCACAGTCCCTAAGGCGGCGGTCAACAGCCTCGCCAGGTACGCCGTGGCCATCCCCGTCCACTCCTTACCTCACCATCGACCTCACGGAGGACGATGTGACACCACAGAGCAGCAGTACCCCCTGTGCCAGCCTAGCTGAGAGCCAGCAGGAGAACTCGGAGACCTCCCAGGTGGACGCAGAGGGGAGAGACTCTGACAACACTGAGTACCAGGTACTCCTCCTGCCGGTGCCCCAGGATGCCGAATGTAAGAACAGGCGCCAGCCACTGGTGGCTTTGCTACCGCTGAGCCACATTCATCCCCAGTGTTTTTTTTGTACCTGGGATTGAACCCAGGGGCACTAACCACTGAGTCGCACATCCCCAGTCCTTTTTTTTGTATTTTATTTAGAGACAGGGTCTCACTGAGTTGCTAAGTGCTTTGCTAAGTTGCTGAGGCTGACTTTCAACTTTCCATCCTTCTGCCTCAGCCTCCCGAGTTGCTGGGGTTACAGGCATGCACCACCATCCCCAGCTCATCCCCAGTGGTTTTATTTTTAAACATTTTTAATTTTTTAGCACCAGGGATTAGATCCACAGGCTCTTATTTTATTTTTTCTATTTGAGACAGTCTCGCTAAGTGGCTGAGGCTGGCTTTGAACTTGGGATCCTCCTGCCTCAGCCTACTGAGCCCCTGGATTACAGGCAGTCACACGACACTCAGGCATTCCCAGTTTTTATTTTTGAGTCAAGGTCTTGGGCGACTGCTAAATCTCACCTGGAACTTGTAATTCTCCTGCCTCAGCCTCCCAAATCACTGGAATTATAGACATGTGTCACCACCACGCCTGTGTACTGTTGATAATTTTTTTTGGGGGGGTTACGTGGGGTTCTTTCTCACTGGGCTGAGACACTAAGTTGTTTAGGCTTTTATCCTCCAGCTTCAACCTCAAATTGCTGGTTTACAGGTGTATCGCCACACCTGACCTATTGTTGATAAATTTTAAAGACTACCCAGTGGTACTACAATTTGTCATTTTTACCATTTTTGAATTCTAAATTTTCTACATACAACATGGTCCTTCCCATTTCCCCCGAGACATTTTAAGTCAGGCACCAGAGTTACTGTGTGAATTGTGATTCTCTGAACATCACTTATTTGTACGTAGATGTAAGTACTGTGTTTAACACACACTACATAATGTGGTTTCTGTTTGTGCATTTGATTGTAGCCCGGCTATAATTGCTTTAGTTATGCCCTACGTATGTTTATAATCGCAAGAGTTATATCTGGCTATATGCCAGATTGCCAGCACTGCTTACTTTCATCTTCTTAATGCATGCAGGGATCTGGACGATGGTTTAATTGAGTGTTGCTGAGTGAAGCCTCCCTTCCCATGGAGGTACTTATGGTACAGGATGTACTCTGTGCATTATGTCAGAGGACATTGTACTGTGGATACACTTGATGAGTTCCTTTCTTTCCTTGTGGCTGGGTATGCGCCCGGGGTTGCTCACATGCTAGGCATGCCGTCTGAGCTCCCCACCAGTGACATCTCACATCTGTGCACCAAGCTTGTTTTGCTGAGGGGGTCAGTGGAGGGGCAGGAGGAGCTGGCCAGGTTGACATGTCTTCACAAATGTTTTTATTCTATGTGGTTTCTCTTCCAGGATGGGAAGGAGTTTGGAATAGGGGACCTGGTATGGGGCAAGATCAAGGGCTTCTCCTGGTGGCCAGCCATGGTGGTTTCTTGGAAGGCTACCTCCAAGCGCCAGGCCATGTCCGGCATGCGATGGGTCCAGTGGTTTGGTGATGGCAAGTTCTCTGAGGTGAGTCCAGTGCAAGGCATAATCTCAAGTCGTGTAGATCTGAAATGTTAGTTCCTTCCTTAGGCAGTTAATTTGCGATCTTTCTGCAGAAGGATGCAGCAGTCTTCTGTAAGGACAGAATCTTCCTATACTCTCTGCTTACCTGTACTCCCTCCTTACCTGTAATCCATGCTTACCTGTAATCCATGCTTACCTGTACTCCCTGCTTATTGTATTTCCTGCTTACCTGTATTCACCTGCTTACCTGTACTCCCTGCTTACCTG